CTAATCTTATATGAGTTATGAAAGTGTTCATAATTCTCTATGATGGTATCTTCATAATTCTATTAATTTGTATTAATTATTATCATTTGTTACTTTAAATTGTGTACTCTAAAACGTCGAAGATGTTGCAATATATGTGATACAAACTATGCACCTTGTTTAGTTATAAGCTGTGAAAGTGTTAATTATTTTATATGAAATATAAAGATGCATGAGAGCAAATTTTACAATAAGGTAAAAAAAAAATCTTTACAAAAAGGTGACTGTCGGTTTGATTTTTGAAACCTAAGGTAAGAAGACGACTTAACGGACTGAGAATGTGTGTAAATCTTAAAAAAAAAATTCTGCAAGTTGGGTAATACATAAATCATTCTATAACTTGTCATTGTATTTTGAAAAGCCCAAACCCATTTTGTCAAAAAAAACTCAAAAAATTAGAATGTGACAAACCGAGATGAGAAAAATTAATTTTGTCCGGTTTGATTTCAGTTAGTAATTGCTGACATGTCCTTTTTTGCCCCATGTTCTAATGCTTATGTGGAGGCTTGAGAAGTGAGAAAACTCAACTTTATTGTATAAGATGTGTAAAGGTTTTAATTTGTTTGAAATAGTTTATTAATTGTATACATATCTAGATTGCCATAACTGAATCAGAAATACACCGAAAATTCAAAATGGATTAAAACCTCGATTTCTAAGAAGAAAAAAATCAAAAATTTGTATATCAAATGTGAACTGAAATCAAAACTGCACAGTAAAAAAAGTTTCTTGTTAACTATTTCTAAATACAAAACCCATACATAAGAACTTTTTTTTTTTTTTTTTTTTTTTGGGGCAAAACATAAGAACTTAGCAGGTTGTAAATTGTAAGCAATACCAAATCGTTCTTCTGACCAATCATGACAATTAGTTTGTGTTGCAAATTTCGGCTTCAAAACGTACACTTAAAAAATTGTTTAAAATATCATAAGTTGCTACCACATTTTAAAAATACACTAATAAAAAATATTATAACATTTGGATTCAAATTTTAGTGGTTATTGTTTAGGCCACAGTATTTAGAGGTTGGGTTTGAAATTATTAACTTGTATAAATATTTTATATATTATTCTTACGCATTTAGAAATGATTTAGACATGTTAGTTTACACTTTTTCATCATTAATTTCAAGTATCTACGAAAATAATTATTTCTCAAAAGTGATTGGAAAAATAGTATTAAACTTATGGTAAGATTGAAATTCTTACTCAAATTAATTAGGATACAAAACAAGCTGATAATGTAAGACGTAAACTAATTATATATGGATAGTTTTTTTTTTCCATAAGCTTATTACAAGTAGACAAAACATATATACTTCATTTTTTTTTAAGCCATATACTTCATAATTTTGCATTATGTTGGTTGAATGAAGCATCGCGTGACACGTTACGTTCATGGACAACTATGAACAATTGAAGATGTCTTTTAAGAAAAAAGAAGTGGGGCTTTTATCTTTGCTTCAAAGTGTATCCAATAACAAAAATCAAATTGAAATAAAACCACATATACGTGCTTTTTGGTTCGAAAGAGACAAGACATAAAGAAAGTTAAGAAACACATTAACAAAGAGAAGTTGTACGAGTACAAGCCATCTCTCAGTCTCTTAGTGAAGAAGGAATGGTTTTCTATATTTTAAAAATATGACCTAAAATAGGTAATTTTTTGTGTTTTTGTCATTTCATTGTGAGGTTCGATATACTGATTATCAACATACACACTGAGGATATACGACTCATAAAAATAATGAAATACTATATGTTTTTGGATATTGATGTTCTTGTAACAAATATATTTCTATTTATCAGTCAGTGTCTTTGGATCAGTGAAAATAAAATAACCATCAATTCTTTCTTGTTTTTTTAATAAAAGGGCTAATAACTATCAAACTTTACATTCGATTTCTTATACATGTTGCCGGCATATGAAATATATAATACAAAACTAGTTACCAAATGAGGTTATGTTTAAGACTGTTGTAAAATCTACAAGTTAAACTCCACATTATAGTTTTGTAGACGTCTCCTAAGTTAAGTAAATTACTGGTTATATTAAATTGAGTTTGTTTATAAACAGAAATCTAATGTTTTTTTTGTTTAATTATAAATAAAGATGTACCATATAACTATTTATAGTTGCATAGTTCCAGTTTCTAATTTATAAATTTGAGTTGCCAGGAAATAATATCATAAAATGTAAAGTAATATGTTTTCCGCTATGTAAAGAATATATAATAATAAATTTATCAGGAAACTATGATTTACGAGGTTGATTAGTGTTACCAAAACCTAAGAAATGAGGGTTTTTAGGTTTGTCAACAAAAAAATGAAATAAGAACAAAGAATGAAAACAGGTTTTATAAATTCCATTAAGTGCCAAGGAGATTACACTACTACATATTCTATAGCTGTAGGAGATGGGTTCCGCCCCTCCACAAGACCCATCAAATGAAGAAGCCTAGTTCGATGTGATGATCTACTCGGCCTAATAGACACGTAAGAATGGTTCGGATTCGCGGCACTTCTAGTAGATCGGCTAAAGCGTTTCAGAGGAGTCAGCAGAAGAACGTTTTATCCGGGCTACTAAACAGGTCGAAAAAGAAAGGAAGTCCAACAAGCTTCGGGTGAACTAGGACAAACAGTAAGACAAGGTCTATAAAAGAAGAGAGGCAACAGTAAAATAGGGGATCTACACTTTGATATACATACTAGGCGGCTAGATCTAGGATTTCTTCACTTTCATTGATACTAGGTGGTTAGATCTAAGGTTTCCTTACGTTCATAGATACTCACCGCTCTGTATTTCTCCGGTCAGCTCTCCGAGCTCCTACTAGTTCGTCTCTCTACTTTCTCCTTTGTAACCTCTTGTTCAGATCTAATAAAATAGCGTTTTTATTCGCCCATCTCACTCTTTATATTGTTCTTGAACCATATTTACCTCAAACAATAGCCTGGAGTATTTTTGAAAAAAAAATTGGCACGATAGACATGCTTTGTACTAGTTATTCATGTCCTAAAAACTTTTGCCACAAAGTTTATTTAAATATGGTGATACGAATTAATTCTAGAGATTAGTTTACTGTGAATTAACATAAAGAACTAGTAAATGGACATATAAAATAGTGGTGGGCTGCTACGAGTGGAGTAAAAAATTACAAAATGAAGATAGTGCATGAAACTATTTTACCAATGATAATCAACAGTATAATTATGAACTATAAAATAATGACAAATATCCTACAGACATGCGCAAGTGTTTATTGAATCTTCATTTATCTATATAGATATTTGTCGTTCAGATATTTTTAAGAAAAGAAGTTTGATTTATCGATATATAATGTTATATATGTCCATATAAGATAATTTAATCATATACTAGATTTTGACCCGTACTTTCCAAACACGGAAATTTTTTTATGATTAAAAATTTATATAATTGTAATTTGTCTTTATTTAAAATATGTTTGGTATAAAATAAGTAATCTAAAATTTGTGGTGATGATTGTTTTGCATTAGTTTTTAGTTTCAGTTTTTATTTTTAGATTTGGTTTTAAATTTTGGTTTTTGGTTTTTGATTTTTAGTTTTTAAGTTTCTATTTTTGATTTTCAGCTTTTGGTTTGAGTTTTTAGTTTTTATATCTGCTGAGTTAGTTTGAACTCATATTACCAACAAACAAATTCCAAATAATCGAACATCTAATTTAAAACTGAAAAGATGGCAATTTTTTTTAAAAAAATTGCAATAGTTTATTTTGTAAATAAACAAAAGAAAAAATATAACCTGCATTTTCAGCTTTTGGTTTTGAATTTTAGTTTTTAGATTTGGTTTTTGGTTTTTGGTTTTTGGTTTTGCTTTACATTTATTTATTTTTAAATTAGTAAATTATTTAAGAAAAATGAAACAATAAACTATTTAAAAGATACCATTGAAATTTATCAAAATAGAGTGATTGTTATTTACAATAAAAAATATATTAACATGTTTTAAAGTACATTATTTAAATAAGTGATTAATAATAGACAATTTTTTTTGTTAAAAATATTAAATACCTTTGGGGCTCAAAATAGTATTTGATTTTTTTATCCTTTATATTGGAAAGTTTTTCGATGTGTTTTTAGAGTTTTTCTTTAATATTAAGCTCAAAAACTAAACCATATAATTTGTTTTAAAAACAAAAATAAGTCCAAGACTCTATCTCATACATAACTGCCGATTTAATTTAAGTGATGCGGTTCAATCAACTATATGACTTGTATTATTTTTAACACTCTATAGTCCTAATTTATATGACAACTTGTATTAGTAGATAAAAATAAAAACTCTATTTTAATAGACTAGATTATAATGATTTGATAAAATGGAAAAGGTTAGTTTTGCAACCATCATCTGATAACTAGTATTCTTTTTTTCTCTGGTAATCAACTAGTATTCTTTTTCCTGTTGCATTTGACAAGTTTAAACTGAATTTCTTATTTTGACTGCAAAAATGTGAATCATATAACAAATAAATTGGAATAGTAGAAGTAAAAAACAGAATGTATTACATTGTTTGACAATTAAGACATTGCTTTTAAGCTAACAAACCCTTTAGGAACTGAAAATTCCGTGATCTAATAGTATTCTATAACAAAGTTAATATGTTACTTGTTTGATTGACATACTATAAGAAAGTGAGCCACAATTCTGAATCACCTATTAAAATTATATAATTATACATTTACTTCGATACCTTTTTCGGTTCAAAATCATTAGCATCACATTATCTGAAACATAATAGTTTCTAGGAGATTTAATCAAAGAGTGAAACATGTATTAACTTTTTTTGCATATAAGAACGAAATAACAATAATTTACTTGAAAAAGAAGATTAGTGCCCGGAAAAGAAAAAAAAAAAAGCAAATGCACTAACTGACCCTATATAAACACTCACATTACAAAGTTACATTCTCTCAAGCTAAAAATAAAAACAGAAGACGAACAAAGAGTTAACAGAGTCAGACTCTCCTCTTTTTTTTATCCTCTACGACATCTTCTCTTCAACGCTAATGGATTCGCTCAGTACCCAAAAGTCTAAACCGAGAAAGATGAAGGCTGTTGCGAAGAAGTCTCGATTTCAAGTAATCTTGGATTTGTTTTACCGAGTGATCGAGATAACTGTAGTTGTGGTTACAGTGGCCAAGCTCTGTTACCAACTAGTCATCATGTTCGAGGACTCTGGTCTCACACGTTTTCTCATCAACCGCCACCTTGCTTTCCTCTTGGGAAACGCGATAGTCATCTCAATAGTCGCCAAGTGCGGTCTCTTTGCGAATCAAGAACCAGATGCACCACGGAGAAACACCAATGAATTTTACGACGAGTTTGTCCGGGAGAGCTCAAGAAGAGAGCAGAGGGTACATACGGATTTGATATGCAGAGAAAAACAGAGCAGCGAAGATAATAAACAGAGCAGAGAAGAGCAGAGCAGCGAAGATAAGGAACAGAGCAAAGCAAAACAGAGCATGTTGGAGAATAGGGCAAAACAGAGCACCCAAGATAAGAGAGAGGAACAGAGTACTGACAAGAAGGACATAACTGTGAAGAGAGGCAGACAAATCATTACCCAAACACAGGAAAGTCCAAGGAAGAGCTACGAAAGGAGTGGGTCAGAAAATCTCGAGGGCTCGAAGAAGAGTTCTTGTGGAAGACTGAAGAGATCAGAGACTGTTGATGTTTCTGATGATGAACTCAGGTACAAGATCGAGTCATTCATTGCGAGACAGAGGAGGAACCAAAAGGATGAAGAGTTTTGTATTGTTTAGATGTTATAAAAGTATTCTACAAAAGCAAGGCAAAAAAAAAAGAAGAAGAAAAACTTTAGTTTATGCAAATAACATTCACATATGTGTGTTTGTAAATATATGGGTGGAAAATATTTCAAAGCCCCAGCATAAAATGTTGTTTTAGCTTTTCTTTTCTTCTTTTTTTCTTTGTAAAATTTTGTTCCATCTTATAAGTGATTTAATATATATTTCTGTAAGTTTGATATTAGAATAAATGAATAATTAGTCTTATCGTAGACATATCTTGAAAACACATGATGGCCAAGATTTAGGCTCCGATTGGTAATCATCGCGGAATCACGGAAATAATAGTTAAGTTTCGGAAAAAAATAATTAAGTCGTGGAAAAAATTAAAATTTTCAGAATGGCGGAATATATATTAAATTGATTACAATATTTTATATGGTATTTAATTTGTTATAAAAAAAAACTAGAAACTAATTATTACAAATGTGAAAACAACTAAAATTTATTAAAAACATTTTAGTTTTTATTATAGATATCTAGCTTATCTTTCAATACATTTTAACAATATTTTGACATTTTATAATATACAAATTATAATAGAACTTTATTTACAACATAATTATTTCTCATTAAAAATTATTGATATGTATTTTCTATTTTAAGATAGTATTAGCATATAATTTAATAATATGAAATATTAATTTGTAAATCTTTCCACCATAATCTACTAGAACTCACTATTCAACTTAATAAAATTTCTCTTTATATTTTTGTCAGCAAAAATGCAAACCTACGTTTTTGCGTTTTTTTTTCATTCCGCAACATTTTGTTGATTGGTAAAATTCTTACGGAATCGCGTTTCATAGACCATTCCGCCATTCAGCATGGTTACCAATCAATGCCTTAAAGCTGTTTCTGTATAGCATTTTTTTTGGTCATTGAATATTACAAAGAGATATGTGCTTGGAGAACCATTTTCTAAAACATCATCAACTAAGTTGTCCAATCTAGAAACAAGATAGAAACTAAAGGCTGCAACACTAGAGGAGATCGATCGAATGACGTTTACAATTACAATAATTTCTTTTGATTGGAGGCTGCCAAAGATAGCCCTGATGAGCGTTAAACTGTCGGTGAAAACCTTGAGTGTGGAGAACTGTATAGCCTTAAATGTGAGATATATATTAACATGAGCATCTGGATGAAATAGAAAAAAAGTGGTGTTAGTTAAATAAAAACAATAGAACAGATAAGTGTTGCGCATTCCTTGGTTGTGAGGAACAGGAACGTCTTGTGCAGATTGAACCGCATCTGTAAATGACGTAATGAACCAAAACATGTAATCGGATATATTCAAGCTTAGACCTATGTATTCATCTATATCAATGTTTTTCTCTTCAGTTAACTTCCTGAGTTCTTGGCTGGTGTGTTGGTGTGCAGACAAATGTGAATGTATGCGTTCAGACAAAGGTTCATGGAACGACCCTGACATCTTCAAACTACTGTGAAGAAGATAGAGACTCTTCCCAAAACCCAAAAACGATTACCGAAGAGTAAAATCTTAAGTACATATACAGACATACATTTTCCAACATTGAAGAGAAGACAATATCAACCTATGAGAATGTTTCGTGTAGGTTGTAATTTTTATGAAAAAGTAAAAAGAAAGACTGATTGTATTAAGAACTGATATCGGTTACAAGAATAGAGAAAAATACAACTAATATCTATTCTCTCATGAACATGACTTGATGATCAGTTCTCTTGATAACCTCTCCTCTACTACTACGTACTACTTATATACTACTTTCCAATGAAAGTAGTATATAAGTAGTCATCATGTTTATAAGTAGTATATCTATTCTCTCATGAACTCGTCTCAGTTTGTAGTATATGTATTTGTCACATAACATTAATTAATTTTGAAACCATTTGAAATAATTGTATTGTCAAATTTTTCGTGCCATTGTTTAGGAGCTTGTTTAAGCCCATAAACTTACTTTACAAGTTGGCATACTTTGTCATCCTGTCTAGGAATGATAAAACTCCATTTAGAAAAGCGGTTTTTACATCCATTTGATGGATTTCTAGGTTTCTTAAGACTGCGATTGCTATCCTCAGTCTTATTGACGTTATTCTCGTTACTGGAGAATATGTATGAAAATAGTCAAGGTCTTCTTTTTGTCGGAATCCTTGAACTACGAGCCTAAAAATGTATTTTCCACCAGGTTTTCGTGTCATTATCCATTTATTCCCTAATACTTTGCAGCCAAGTGGTAAATCCGTTATGTACCATGTATAGTTTTGCATGATAGAATAAAATTCACTTCTGACAGCTTCATTCCAAAACAAATCTTCTGGTGAAGCCATGGCTTCTACCAAAGTTTTTGGAACAATTTCTACTAAGAATTTCATTAAGAAATATTCACCAAAAGATTTTTCATTTTGAGCTCTTTTTCTTTTTCTAGGTTCATCTTTTTCATTTTCTGAAATATCATTTACAGAAATGTCAACATTTATCTCAATTTCTGAAACTTTGTCGTCGTCTCTTTCTTCTCGGTTACTTTTGAACCTTAATTTTCCTTGCAGGAAAAAATATTTTTGAAGATGCATTTCTTGATTAATTCCATTGCTGTATTTTCATGAATATCTGATATTTCATATTTATGTACTAGAAATCGATAAGCACTACTGTTATGTGCATATCTGATGAAGATGCATATACTATTTTAGGTCCAATAGTGACTTTTTTTTTGTGGCGGTACCACAACTTTTGCCAAGCACCCCCACATTTTGAGGTATTTATACGATGGTAAATTACCTTTCCATAATTCATATGGAGTTTTTCCAATTACTTTGTGTGGAATTTTGTTGAGGATATAATTAGTGGTAAACAGCGCTTCCCTCCACATGTTCTGGGGTAACCCAGATTCCTGCAACATTGCATTCATCATCTCTTTTGGAGTTCCATTTTTGCATTCAACAACTCCATTAGATTCTGGTGAATAATGAGCTGTAGTTTGATGGATTTCATGTTCTTTACGCAATTCATTGAATGGCCCATCATACTCTCCTTCTCTATCGCTTCTAACAATTTTAATAGTTGTTTTAACCTGATTTTCTACCTCGAGTTTAAATTCTTTGAATTTATCTAAGGTTTCATCTTTGCTACGTAGTAAATAAACATAATAATATTTTGTTCAGTCATCTATGAAAGTCACAAAGTACTTTTTCTCACCTCTAGTTTGTATGTCTTTTAAATCACATAAATCAGTGTGAATTAAATATAGAGGTTTGTTAGTTCTTTCAACATGAGATGGAGGCGTTTTTGTGAGCTTAGCCTGTACGCATACTTCACATTTTTGTTTACTTGTTTTACATTTTGTGATTAGATTTAGATTCATTAATCTTTGTATTAATTTGTAGTTTACAAGGCCCAATCTTTCATGCCATATATTAAAAGACTCAATCAAATAAGCAACTGGCTCTTTCTTATTCTTTGAAACTTTTTGAGGTACAACTATTGGAAGGATTGTCATTACATTTTTTTTGACCAATCCATCCTTAACATACCCCTTTCCTATATACATCCTATTCTTCCTAATCACGAGCTTATCCGCCTCAAGAGATGTAGCAAATTCATTCTTGCTGACGTTTTCCGGCATCAACACTTCTCCGTTTGTTTCAGTGGCCAAAGATCGAGGAGCATCAACGCATGACCAAGCACACAACATCGAGCACTCCGGTTCTTCTCAAGTGCTCGATCCATGCTCACTGAAATGAGGAAAGGTCTGTTCTCGTCAAATCGAACCAATCGCTCAAACCAAGCTTCAGCCAACAATCACTTTGAACTCTGCGGCTGGCCATTGTCTTTTTTTCACCAATTTACGCATTTGGTCCTTGACCTTTGTAAATATTCAGTTTTGATCCCATAGCTTCTGTTTGGTGTAGAAATGATCTTGATTTTGCCTCAAAACTTCTAATCGTGAATTCTAGTCACTGTCTATGCAAAATATAAAATGCAACCCCTAATAACATCTAAATGAAAATTTTAAACACTAAAAATGACTAAACACAAATACTAAAAATCTATAAAAACGACACACATCATCAACAGACCATTGGAAAGCTGTAAAACACGTTTTTGCGCTACCTCTATTGTACATTGACTCAGGGGATTTTTACACGCAAACAAGTTAACTCTACACTACATGGGTTCTCCAATGCAGATTGGGCAGGAGACTCTGATGTTTATGTCTCAACAAATGGTTTTATCATCTACTTTGGGAGTCAACCGATTTCTTGGACATCACATAAAAAAAGGTATAGCTCGATCTTTTATAGAGGAAGAATATCGAGCAGTTGATAATGCTGCAGCAGAACTTCGCTGGATCTGTTCACTACTGACAGAGCTTGGTGTTTATCTTCCATCAGCACCTACAGTCTACTGCAACGAAATTTGGGCGACTTACCTTTGACACCTTTGCGCAAACCCTGTTTTTCATTCTCGGATGAAACATATTGCCATAGACTATAACTTTTGTGAGAGGACAGATGACAGATTCGAGTCACTCATGTTTCCTCTCATGATCATCTCACATATGAACTTACCAAACTGCTTCCAAGATCGACATTTCAACTTCTATGCGGCAAGATTAGTGTCACCATAGTCCCACCATCTTGAGGGAGTGTGTTAGGAAAATAAATATATATCAAAGGATCTATTTGTAATTATAAGAATATACTAATACTCTACTTGTATACTTGTATAAATACTCTCTACATGATTAATAAAAATATCATTCAACCTCAAGTCTAGACTTCAGCTTGGGATACTCCCATATTAAAAATAAAAAAAAACTTTAGAAAGTTTTATATTTAGATATAAGCTCTCAACAAATTTTATATAGAGTTTTTCTTTATCAAATTTCTTACTAAATTTTTATTGCCCATAAAATGTCATTCCGACAATGAGTACTATTGACCCAAATATCAAACCAGAATGTTACTTT